TTTTGCTTTCTCCCCCCCCCCCCCCCCACCCGTACGTCCTTTTCTTTACCATTTTTTGTTTATTTATTTTCCCCGTGTCAACTCACTAAACAGTTTTCGCTTTTTCCTTCCTTTTTTGTCTTTTACTCTTTCTCTTCCTCTTCCCATTTCCTCCTCCTCCTTCCCCTCCTCCTCGACCACCACCACCACTTCTTCCACCTCCTCCTCCTCTTCTTGATCTTCGTCTTCCTCTTCTAACTCTACCTCTCTCTCCCTCTCAACCACCACCACTTCTTTCACCTCCGGCTCCTCCTCTTGATCTTCTTCCTCTTCTACCTCTACCTCCTCTTCCTCCTTCTCCTCTTTCTCCTTCTCCTCCTCTTCCTCCTCCTCTTCCGCCTCCTGATCATCATACTCTTCTTCCTCTATTTTCGTTCCTCCTCCACCTCTTCCACTGCCTCTTCCTCCTCCTCCTCCGCTTCCTCCTCCTCCTCCTCCTCCTCCTCCTCCTCCTCCTCCTCCTCCTCCTCTCCTCCTCCTCCTCCTTTTTTACCCATGTCTCCTCCACCGTGCCACTGAACGGGAAATAGCACGTCGCGGCCTTTTTAATATATTCGTCTTTTTGGTCTTATATTTCAAAATGGCGGCCGATCAGACTGGGAAAGGAGATAGCAGACGGATGCTGTCTCGTGGCTAGATTTATGGTGTTGGGGGCGTGGTGTGTTTGAGGGGAGGAGAGGGCGTGTTTTGGAGGTAGAGGGGGTGTGGGTAGGCGGAGGAGAGTGGGGAGGGGTGGTGGTGGGTCGCTTTGTTTGGAGGTGGGAGGGCGAGGGGGGTTGGAGAGGGGAAGGCGAGAGGGAAGGGTGATTGGAGGGGGAGGGGAAGGGTGGCTGCGTGTGCATATATATATATATTATATAATATATATATATATATATATATATATATATATATATATATATATATATATATATATATATATATATATATACGTACGAGTATATATGTATAGCGACTATGCGTAACGTCCTATGTATCCATGTACGTATATGCGTTTCTGTGCGTATCAACCCCGAGCTACATAGACGTAATCCCTCTCGATGCCAGCAAAGGGTACATATTCCTCCCTCAAAAAGAATTCACCATAAATCTCCTTAAAATGTCTTTTCAATCCCGGCCGGAGCTGTCACCGGTGCCATGTGTCACGCGAGGACTCGGTCTGTGAAATGTGACAGGAGGGTCATGCTTAAGTACTGTGCGAATATCAGTTTATTTTTTTTACGATTTTGTGAAACGGATGAGGAAAGATAGCATAAAAAATAATGATAATATGATAATGATATTAATTATGATGATAACAATAACATTATGGTAATAGTAATAATGATAATAATGATAATAATAATAATAATAATGATGATAATGATCATGATGATTATGATATTAATATAAAATGATAATGATAAAACCGAAAGAAATAGAATGAAAATCAGTAACATCAATTATAATAGAAAAAGAAAAAAAGAGAGAACGAAAATAAGGAGATAAGAGAATAAAAACCTTCCCTTTTGTTCCCGACGAAGAATTCATGGCAGAGATAATCGGAAGTGAGTGGGACATTGGCCGTAAACTTGGCTCGGAAGTTTGGGCTTTTGGTTGCGTGAATTTGTTTAGGGGAATGTGTTTGTGTTGTTGTTGTTTAATGCTTTTGTTGTTTTGTTGTTGTTAATGTTTTTGTTGTTTTGCGTTGGTGGTGGTGGGATTTTTTTCAATGGGTTATTGGTAAATTTGTCTGAATTTCTCATTCTGTTTATCTCCCTCTACCCTTCGTCGTCTTTTTTCCCTCTCCTTTTCTCAATTTCATCCCCCATTCTTTCTTCTTTTTCCCTCTCTCCCTTCCACCCTTACCCCCCCCCCCGACACCATCTTATCCTTCCCTCCCTTTCCTTCTTATCCTCCCCATCTCTCCCTTTTTTCTCCTTCTACACCCCCCTTTTTTGTCTCCTACCCCTCACCCCCCTCACCCTTCGCCCCCCCTCACCCCCCCCTCCCACCGGTACCGACGACAACGGAAGTGCACAGTGACTTAATTTGGTTCTTGGGATATCGGTCGTCTTGGCTCTGGTGGCATCGTTGCCGCAACTGAATCGCTGACATAGAGGGGGGGGGGAGGAGGAGGAGGAGGTTAGTGGTGGAGTAGGGGAGGAGGAGGGTGGTGGAGGGATAAGGAAGGAGAGAAGGAGAGAGGGTAGGATTAGGGAGAGAGGAGGATGAGGAGGTTGGTGGTGGAGGGATAAGGAAGGAGAGAAGGAGAGAGTAGGTTAGGGAGGAGGAGGTGGTGGTAGGGATAAGGAGGGAGAGGAGAAGGGTGATAGGAGGAGGGGGTGGTGGGGGAAGAGATGGGGTAGAGAGGGAGAGAGGAGAGGAGGAGGAGGAGGAGGTGGTGTGGAGTAGGGAGGAGGAGGTGATGGAGGGATAAGGAAGGAGAGAGGGAGAGACGGAGGAGGTTGGTGGGGAGAGAGAGGGGGAGGAATAGGGAGAGAGGGGGAAACATATTGGTGGTGTAGGGGAGGAGGAAGAGAAGAAGAAAAAGAGAAGGAATAGAAGGAGAGTGGAAGGAAGAGATTGATGGAGGGAGAGAGAGGGAGGAGGAGGTGCATAGAGGGAAAAAGAGAGAAAGGGAAAGAAGAAGGAAACTGATGGAGGGAGAGAGGGAAGAGAGTGATAGGAAGAGGGGGAGGAGGAGCTGGGTGAGAGGAGAGAGGAAGGAGGAGGTGGTAGATGAAGGAGAGGGAGAGAGGGATTAAGAATTTAGTGGAGGAGAGAGGGAATGGTAAGAGGGAGAGGAGGAGGAGGAGGAGGGTGTGGAAAACAGGAAGAGGGATGAAAATAGGTAGAATGACAGTAGATGAATTAATGGAAAAACGTACGACGTAGAGAAAATGATACAAAAAAATAGAAAAAAGGAGACACGAAATTGCGAGATCAAAGATGAACGATCATATAAGAAAAAAAAAACACGAAAGTGGATTGAAAATAGAAAAAGTATAAATAGAATATGATAGAATCTTAAAAAAAAAAAAAAAAAAAAAAACAGGACGTTAGGAAAATACAAACGATATAAACAACGATGAATGGAAAATGCAGTCGACAAAATTATGCAAGGAAAGGAGATTATGACGAAAGAATAAAAAAGAAAGATCTTACACGTGTCGAGGGTACGAAAGAAGGCCAGAGGAGAGATTAAGAGAGAAAAAAGGCAAATAAAGGGTGATAGAGAGAGCGGCTGATAAATACGTCAAAAAGT